CGGTAATTATTTTGTTGTTTGGCCAACACGTGTTATTTTAACGGCCTTCACGCCCACCGGTCTTTCAATCACGCCCGTTTGAGCAATGGCAGACGTGGCAGAGATATCTTTCAATGCCAGCACCATTTATCCTTACAGTGTCCAGAAAATCCTCTGCTATTCACCCCCCTTAACCCCCCCCCCCCCCCCCCACCCTTTTTTTTCCCCTCCTAAATCTTATCACTTGCGTTCCGTCAAAAGTTTGCCAACCTCGGACGTGAGACTCTTGAGTGGACAGCTAAATACATATAAATTGATCGTTTCTGCTAAATCTGAATGATACAGTTCACTTATGTTTGCTTTTGACGCATGCTTACCACGCCACCCCGGATCATAGTAACAAGACACGCAGGGTTTTTAAAAATATAGCTCACACCAGACTCGGGTTGACGCAGCCTGGTCTTCGGTTGATATAAGAGGGTCTTCGGTTGACATGAGGAGGCCTAGGGTTGAAGTGAGCGAGCACCAGGCTGACGAGCTGCTATTCGGTTGACATGGGCAGGCTTAGGGTTGACATATACGCTTTTCTTCGGTTGACATGAGTGGGCATCGGGACGACATGAGCCGGTCCCTGGTTGACGTGAGCGGGCCTCGGGACGACATGAGCCGGTACCTGGTTGACGTGAGCCGGTCCCGGGCTGACATGAGCCGGTCCCTGGCTGACGTGAGCGGGCCTCGGGACGACATGAGCCGGTCCCTGGTTGACATGAGCGGGCCTCGGGACGACATGAGCCGGTCCCTGGTTGACGTGAGCGGGCCTCGGGACGACATGAGCCGGTCCCTGGTTGACGTGAGCGGGCCTCGGGACGACATAAGCCGGTCCCTGGTTGAAATGAGCGGGCCTCGGGATGACATGAGCCGGTCCCTGGTTGACATGAGTGGGCCTCGGGACGACATGAGCCGGTCCCTGGTTGACATGAGTGGGCCTCGGGACTACATGAGCCGGTCCCTGGTTGAAGTGAGGGGGCCTTGGGTTGGCTTGATTCATGATTCCAAGGATATACACGAATGTCAAAACATGCGTTTACCTAACCACACTGTAATGATTGAATTGCAGAAAAGCGAAGCCTGACCAGCAGCCAACCCCAAGGAGAGCTGGGCGACCGCATCATTTTCTCACAAGATGAAGAGTTCAGTATCTCCATCGAGTTTTCTCCAGAGTAAGTCGTCGTCGTTATATTTTGTTGTTTGTAATGTTGGTCTGGACAGCTGTAATGAAATTTTATTGTAGTATAATCTGGAAATCGTGCAAGGTTTGTAGGAGAGCTGCTGATAGTCCTCTAGTTGTGGTTCTGTCGAGAGCTGCTGATAGTCCTGTAGTGGGACCTGCTTATAGTCCTCTAGTGGCAACTGGTGATAGTCCACTTATTGTGGTTCTGTCGCAGCAGTTATTTGGCGCAGTTCTTGTTTAGCTAGCTTTTATTTGAGTATATGCAGTCAGTCGGTATATTTCCATGCATGGTGAAGACGATCTGCACTAGTATGTTTCCGTTGTTAGGCTTGCATTCAACACCATGCATGCACATAGACAATTGAATTATTATTTGATATGGCATCAGTTAGTTCTATCACAGTAATCATCAAGAAATATAATCCCTACATTGATGTAAGCAGTTTGCCATGCTAATAACATCTTCTGCCATTTCAGCGGTAAACCGGTCCCTGACGTCACAAACACAGTAACAAAACGACAGAAATGTTTGGTAAGAATTACTTCACCCTGTACTTGCACTGTCCATCAATGATTTTTATTCTCATTTATTTATTTCCTTATTTTTTCACACCACTGGTAGTAATTTTTCTGTATGTGTTTATTTTCATGTGCTGATATTTGCTCACTGTCCACAGTATCACCAAGACAAACGCTATCTCAAGTGTCCGGCTGCTCTGAGAATTGAGCACCTGAAAAAATTCATTAGAGCCAAGTTTTCACTGCCTCAAAATATACAGGTAATTGGGGTTAAACTCAAGTGGGGGCCATGACATCCAGGTGGCTGCATTGGGACTATTACAAGGGTGTTTATTACATGGGGACTACATTGTTCTATTACTTCAAGGGGGGTTGGGTTGGGGGGGGGTGTTCTATTACTTCAAAAGGGGGGGAGGGCACATGTAATGATTACATCAAGGTTGTTACACTGCTGCCTGTTGACAATTTCCTCTACACAACTTGAATGCAGTCCTTCATTTAATATTGCTTTTTACTCCAGGGCTCTTTAAATATCGGCTCTTGCATAAGGGGCTATTATGTGTGGGGGCATTGTTTTAGGAATTCTGCTTGTGGCCCATTACATGCAGACTATTATAAACAGAAACATAAAACAGGTCTCTTGCAATCAGCTGTTTCACAGGGACCATTACAGCTATAAAAATCCCATGCATGTGTCCCATGCACTTAGCCAGCCATCACCTTGATGAACAGATAGTCTAAGACATCATATTATCTCTTGTATACATCTAAGCTTGGTTCAAAGTTTGATGTTTCCATGAGGACTAGTTTTGAACTGAACTGGCATCCTAGAGAGTCACTTCTTATATTGCTTGTATGTTGTATTATATGCACCTGAAACATCAAGTGAGATAATGTTGTATTCATCCACAGATTGACTTGTTCAGAGAAAAAGAACCTCTGTGTGACACATACTCCCTCATGGATGTAGCTTATATCTACAACTGGAAAAGAGTAAGTATTTTCTATGGTCTTTTTTATGGTCTCTCAGATTCTAATAAATATTATTGTATAAAGGAAATTTGTGATTGTGTTAGACTGCTTTATTTGAGCAGTGCTAAGGAACTAGGTCGAAGAAATTAAGATGGACATTTTAGATAATATTCTAAACATCTGTAGATCAGATTGAATTGTGTCAAGAGTTGTTACACATATGTCATTTGTTTTTCCAGGATTGTGTGCTGAGACTTTTCTACTCATTTTACGAGGTGCCACCAAAAGTTCGGAAAGTGGAAGCCCTGCTGAGTGTCACTGAGAAGGTGGGCAAGAAAAATAAAGAAAAGGAAAAGAAGGATGAAAAAACTGAGAAACGCAAAGAAGAAAGGAGGTTCAAATGCAAGAAAGAAAAGTCCAAAGAGAGGAAACAGTGCCAGGTCTCTGGAAATACTGATGACAGCGGGGTCCAAGTCAACGCAAGCATTGCTTCACCAAAGCCAGGAAAGGCTGACGACAGCAGGGGCCAAGTCAATGCAAGCATTGTTTCACCAAAGCCAGGAAAGGCTGACGACAGCAGGGGCCAAGTCAATGCAAGCATTGCTTCACCAAAGCCAGGAAAGGCTAACGACAGCAGGGGCCAAGTCAATGCAAGCATTGCTTACCCAAAACCAGGAAAGGCTGACGACAGCAGGGGCCAAGTCAATGCAATCATAGCTTCACCAAAGCCAGCAGATGCCCAGAAAAGTGTCAAGGTGTCTAACAATGTCAAAACGCTCCTCAAAAGAAAGCATCCAGATTCTGAGTGTTTCCAGAAAAGTGTTCAGTCCATCAAACATGAGAAAACTTGTGTCAGAAGTCATTTAGCTGATTCAGGGCAACAGACTGAACCTTATCAGCCTCCTCCCGTAAAACAGGAGAAACCTTGCGTCAAAAATCATGAAGCTGATTCAGAGCAACACACAGAGCAGCCCTGTCAGCCTCCGCCAGCAAAACAGAAATGTTTGCCCCAGGCTGCAACCTATTCCATTGTGACAGCATGTGACAGTAAGGAAAAAACTAAATCCTCCAAGGAGTCTGCAGCAGCTGTTAAATCTTCTCTAAAGTTGCTGATTAAATCTTCGGATCTAAAAGCTCCTACATTTCAGAATGGACCATCGTCTGTCAAGGATAAAAAGCTCCAGCCCAGTGGAACTCCACCCCTTTCACTTAAATCCAATCTGTTTGAAAGGATGGGTTCTTTTGCCAAGTACTCTTTCTCTGAACACTTTGATTCCTCTGCTGCTCCCACCCACGTCATTTCTGGTCCTAGTCAACGTGGAAAGTCTTCTCCGCTGAATTCTAAAAAGACAAAGATAAAAGATATAAAATACGACCTCAAGCAGGTCAGTGGTGATAGTGACATAATGAAGCATGTGAAGGACTGGTCAGACATTGGAAGTCCAGCGAAGATTGAGAAGAAACCTTCTCCGAATGGTAATAAAATTGTTAAAACCAAGGACACCAGTGTTGGTAGCTTTCACACTCAAAATGGTGGTGATGCTTTTGGAGATGCCAGAGAGTACAAAAAGATTGAACCTGAAACTAAAGTCCAATCATCGGGAATTATAAGTGACTCAGGTTCTGGAAATAGTGAGCAGAAGTCACCTGAGGTGAAGTCTGAGCCAGTGGCCAGTACGTTAGATTCAGGGCAAGGAGTTCACAACATATCCTCTGAGCCAGTAGCTAATCACGTGAACTCAGACTCAGCACTGCACATTCTAGACGCAGAGCCAGTGGATCACAGTGCACGATCAGACAATGGTTCTTGTCCCTCTGTGCTGAATGACCACAAGAAGCCACTGCCAGAAGTGTGTGCTGTTGAACCAACAGCCAAAGTTGAAACAGCACAAGCTGGAGCTGTAAAACCAGGGGTAGATCTAACTGGTTCGGAGACCAGTGGTAAGTCTCAGGAGAGGCCTGTTGTTGAGACCAAGAGTGTAGATGGAAAGCTGGAAGAGAATGAGACTCAGAAGGCCTCTGGTGTCAATGAGACAGAAATCATAACAGCTGATAAATTAAATATACCAGTAAACAAGGCTGATCATGCTGCCAATCAGACTTCCAGCGGACCAATCCGACACAGTCTTGACTTGAAATCTGCGTCTCAAGATGCCAGCAGGCATACAGATAAAAAATTGTCAAATGAAGTACAATCCAAGCAGTCGACTGTGTCCGATGCTCAAAAGTCTGTTATTATTTCCAAATGTAATGTTCTGGAGACCAAAGACGTTAAGCACCTTGAGCATCAAAGTGAAACCAAGGCCAAAGCTTCCAGTGAAGTGGAGAATGTTCCGATAGCAACTCCTACTGTGAAATTTTTTAGCCTAAAACCGAAAATTTTTGACCGGTCATCATTAAAAAGTGAAAAAGACAATAAAAGTAAAAGTGAACTTTCCACAATCTTCAAAGAAAAATCTGTGAATCAGTTGAAACTGGCTAATGGGAAATGTGATGGGGAGAAGTCCACTGCTAGTGACGGCTCCTCTCAGGATAGTAAAGTGATTGCTTCATGTGTTCAAGACCAAAGTCCTGTTCTGTCGACATCTGTACAAAAGCTGAGCCCTCCAAAAATAGAACCGTGCAGTGCAATGGATGAGAAAAGCTCTAATATTTTCAAAACGACTGCTGACACTTGTACCCCACTGCCGGCACCTCCAAAACTTCTAAAAACAGCCACGGTTTCCACCAGTTCTTCAAACTCCATCGTTGTGTCCCACTCTGTAGCCTCAATTGTTTCCTCTCCCAACACTTCCAGCAGGAGCTCCATTCTTTATCCTGTGGGTGTTCATCTATCAGCAGCCACCTCAGTCATTGCCTCCACGACCAACACTGCTTCAGTTTCACTTTCTGGCTCTGCATCATCTGCGGTAAGCAATAAGTCGGTAACGTCTTTGTCCTTCTCTTCAACCACTGCCACGAAACCGTCACCGACAGCCACACCCCTGACATCTGTGTCACCGCACAGCACCCTGAAAGCAACGGATCTCTCTAAAACATCAGGTAGGCCTCAAAATCACTCGCAGGGTGAATCTCACCTCATGAAACCAGCAGATAAATCTCCCACGTCTCCGTCAACTGTGCCCCACTCATCCTCCATCAAGTTGTCTCTACCGTCCAGTGGCTCTGTGTCCAATGGCTCTGTGTCCAATGGCTCAGCTCATCCAGTGGCGAACCCAGTGACGAAATCACTTTCATATACTGACTCGATAAAAACTGATGTCATTACTGATATCCCTGCAACAATAGACAATACTTTCCTCATCACTCCTCCGGAGGAGAAAAAGTCGCCTGTCTTAGAACACAGAACTTCTCCAAACATAGCCCAGACTTCAAATACTTCCGTTAAGATACCTAAGGAAGCTGCCAATCTGGATAATTTCCTGTTTGATACTAAGCCATCTGAAAAAGATATACTGATAGCTAAAATGTCTCCAGAATTCAAAGAAATGGCATCCAGCTTAAAACAATCTCAGAAAAATGCAGCGAGGACAAGAGTCGTGTCTGCCACGGAGGCTCACAACTTACTCAATGAAAAGTCCTTGAAAAAAGTGGAGCCCCAGATCACTGCCATCCACAACCTTCCCAAGACCATCTCCCAAACCTCCAAATATTCAGTCACCAGGTCAGTGATCGTGTCCACATCATCCAACACTAGGACCAACAGCAGTGTTATACAGACAACAAAGATCAGTACGTTGATTCCAAAGTCCAACTCGGTGACGGCAAAGTCTGGCATGTACTCCAAGGGGTTTTCCTACCCTGCCTCCATCAACAACGTGCCATCATCCAGGAGCTTTCTTCACACGTCTCTGCCTCCTCACGTGTCCAGGTCCATCACCACACTCATGAACGGTGGTGCAGACTATGAGCGGGCAATGACCAATAAAACTCCTGGAATGATATCTCACTCAGGAACAAAGATATCATCCACTACAGCCCCTCAGCAGAAACCGGTATCTCAGCAGAAACCAGTATCTCAGCAGAAACCAGCATCTCAGCAGAAACCGGCATCTCAGCAGAAACCGGTACCTCAGCAGAAACCGGTATCTCAACAGAAGGTAACATCGTCATCCAAGCACAGCTCTAAAGTAAGTGAGCTCAAACCTGACAAGGCTCAGAAAGTTAAAAGCATACCTCCACTGACCATCCCCAAGGCTAATTTTGTCAGTACAACACTGAAACTGCAGAGATCTCCGGGATCAACTGACCATTACATCTTTGCCCCACTGAGCCACTACAGCTCTACAGGACATCATAATGGAGAACATCGGCATAAGACGAAAGAGAAGCAAAATGGATCTAGGACTCCGACCTCACCCCCTACTTCCAATAAAGATTCTGTCTTTGTAGGGGAGAGGCAGCGAGTGCCCACCATCAAAATATCAGATATCAACAGAAATCCCATTATAGTGGAAAGTGGGAGCAGCCATCTTTCTCCATACAGGTCTTACTGTCATGGTAGCTCTCGTTCAGCCACTCTGGAGAATGGGACGAATCGAGCTCACACCCGAGGCGGGAGCGAGTCCAGCTCGCCGAACGGCGGAAACGACCGTTCTTCCGGCCGAGACTCCCGACGCCCCTCCGATTCTGAGCTCCTCATGAGCCAACATTGGCACGGCTACCCTACGGCAGACCTGTTGTTCAATGGATTTAAACTCCCGTCGCACGCCAAGTTCCATGACCTGCATTATGACACGGATGCCATGCCTTTGGATTACTCTCAGTCTTCTTCAAAGTCTTAATGTGCTTTTTTTTCCTCTCTTAAACACTGCCAGCAAGTGGTTGAGATGTGTAACATATAAGAATTGGAGTTTTATTCTATTTCTATTAATCAAAGATACAAGAAAAAAGACACTTTTATTCTGTGGTTGTTCTATCTCCGACACAGTGTTGGGTCTTTTAAATTGTTGTTCTCAAATGTTTCACAACCATGATGTTAAATGATTGATTTTTGTGTGTGTTAAACCTCACTACATGCTGAACACATCACAATTCATGTTGGAATGTAAGTGAGAATAATTACCTTGTGATAAGTATTATTATTATTATTATTATGTATTATTTCATGAAACCTTTGGAATTTTCATGTTGGTTTGAACACCCTATTTGTTATTCAACCAAATCTTTATTTATCCTCCTTCATGTTATGCCATAATGTTCAATGTATGGATGACTCCGAGGACTCTTTGTTGAATGTATGGATGACTCCCAGGACTCTTTGTTGAATGTATGGATGACTCCCAGGACTCTTTGTTGAATGTATGGATGACTCCCAGGACTCTTTGTTGAATGTATGGATGACTCCCAGGACTCTTTCTTGAATGTATGGATGACTCCCAGGACTCTTTGTTTTTAATGTATGGATGACTCCCAGGACTCTTTCTTGAATGTATGGATGACTCCCAGGACTCTTTCTTGAATGTATGGATGACTCCCAGGACTCTTTCTTGAATGTATGGATGACTTCCAGGACTCTTTCTTGAATGTATGGATGACTCCCAGGACTCTTTGTTGAATGTATGGATGACTCCCAGGACTCTTTGTTGAATGTATGGATGACTCCCAGGACTCTTTGTTGAATGTATGGATGACTCCCAGGACTCTTTGTTTTTAATGTATGGATGACTCCCAGGACTTTTTGTTTAATGTATGGATGACTCCCAGGACTCTTTGTTTAAATTTATCTTAAAAAACTGTCAAGTGGAACATGCCTCACTGAACTGTGGTTTCTAATTTAACTCAAAAATTTTCAGAGAACCAGACTGCGCTACTTTTTGTAGAGTAGAAACCCATGACTGCTGTTATAATCAGTTTAGAAAAAAGACACTGCAAGTCAAAGAAACCAATTTAAGACACTAAGGACATAATGTTATACACTTGTACATTGCCCTCCATCAAGATTAAGCCAAGAGCAGGTTTGATCATTGAACTTAACTTGGGGTACTTCATCTATAAAAAAATTTTTTTACCTGTAGTTTGTTTGTCTAAGAATATAGATTTCTCTTTGTCTAAGAATATAGATTTCTCTTCAGATTTCTCTTCGGTTTGTCTGAGAACATGGGATGGATTTAGCTTTAAATTCTACAAATAGCCTGGAATAAATTTGGTCGAAATGGTTATATTTCAATAGTGGCTGATTTAATGACGTCAGTACTTCCCCAACACGTGTCGTCTCTACATCTCAGTATTCTTTTGTCAACAAAGTCCTGTAGATAAATGATTTAAATTATTCTGAATAGCTATTTATATATTAAATTGAATCTGAACTAGATCAGAAGGTGTTGGGCAGTGTGTTTTTTGTCTCATAGTCTTGGGCAATACGTATTTTGACTGATAATCTTGAGAGAATAAAAGTTTTTTGTTTGATTGTCACGGGAAAATAAGATTTTTTTTGGTCCGATAGCCTTGAGCCGGCTGTAAAAAGCCCGTGTTTCCGTGGGGTTGCTGTATTTAGCTCAGACGATAACGAGTGTTGGTTTGTGAAAAAACTGTTTCCATGGGGGTGGGAAAAAAAAAGGTTGTGTGTGTGGGGGGGGGGGCTCTGGCTGGGCTGCCACGAATCACTAGTCCATTGCTTTTCCGAACCGTTGTTGGCAAAACC